AATTCCGTTTTTTAAAGAGATACAAAATTATCTAGGACTTTCATTCGTTTTGGCGTGTTTGATTACCGATTTTATCCAAGAATACTGCGCTAATTAATAATGTACAAGATGCATTAGAAAAAAAATATGTAGTTTTTCATAAGTTCATTCAGTCAAAACGTTCAGTCGGGGAAACCAGGTAGCAAAATTTAAGAGAACCTTTTGCGACCAGAAGATGAAAATGGGAACGTGTTTTTGCCGTAATTAGACTAGTGGCTAGAAGCGACCCGCGTTAACTGGTAAATAGTAGCTTCTTTGAATTAACGATTGAACACAATGAATCCCATGAAAGATTTAAAGAAAAAATTGCCGGAACATTTGTGATCGGCGTGGTTTTTAAACAGAAAAGTTGAAGCTGGCCATTTTTGACGAGATTTTTCATTGGAGCTCAAAAGTGAAGTTATGTATAACTTGCAACCAACTTTTGAGAATTGAAAGAGTTTGAAAATTGCCAATTGAGGATAATCAAATAAGCGCGGTATTTCCCATTTCTCTTATGGCATTCAAAATAATTGAAATTTTTTTCAGATAATGTATTGAAAAACGCAAAAAGTAGTTGTGATCTTGACATTGCGTGTGAGTAGAATACTTCACTATCCAAAAAAATGAAAATAATTAAACAACACTACAATAATAATATCATTTTTTGCCAGAATCTTTGGAAAATTTTTATACAGAAGGCCCTGATACGCGCAGTTTTAAGAATTTTCGGTTGGGTTTATCCGATCTTTTTCCCTTTTTGTAATTTTTGCATTTTCCAGCTTCGCTTTGAGTCACTTAATGTATTTCCCTTTTCAAAAAAATGTAAGGTGACATTTGAATGTGAGGTGACAAATATAATGTAGGGTGATCATTATCGAAACATTTAAAGTGTCATGGAACATAATAAAGAAATTTTTTAATTGTCTTTTTCACATAATCTAAAAGCTCTTATCGCTCTAAATTTTTTTTAAACATTTTTAATTTTTGCCTTTTTTTAGTTTCATTTGCTGAATGGAAGTCAGATAATAAGTATTTGTATTTAAAAATTAATTTAACAGTCTGTTCTCTTTTTCACGTTTTGTGACAGTTAAAAATAACAAAAGTCATTTTAGAAAATAACTTTCTTAAGTTGAGGTTCGCAAAAAGTCAAGAGAATGGAACTGGAAAAGTGCCGAAGTGAGGTCGCTGACGTTTTCCAACTGATTGTTGAGTATGCTTTTGCTCTATTTAGTAGTCCATTAGAACATAAAAACTGATTTGAACAAATGCAGCTTCAGTTGCTGAATTTTGTTCACTCCAATTTTTCCTTCGATTCAACCAGTCTACTTTTTGTTCATGAGTTAAATCTTTTTTGATAGCGTTTGTACTGCATCAAGTAACGGTTATTTTTTTTGTTCCGACCAACAAAGTTATGTACTAGTGACTGTACTCACAGAGTAATTTGAGATTAGGTACACTGTCTGTTCGTCACGCTATCTTATTTTCGGCCGGAAAGATTCGTGCAACTTTTTAATCTAATACCGATCTTACTCTTATATCTCCTAGTCTCAATAGATCTAGTGTATACCGATTTATGCAAGTTAGTTACCAGAAGAAGAACTACTGTATACTAGGTTTTATTCAATTTGTTCTGGTGCTGAAACTACAAGTAGTTTAAGTGCTTACAAATAAGTGTAAATGTTAGAGATGGAATATGATTGGTTAGTTATAAATGTTTTTTTTTGTGATATTCGATCATAAATATTATTGGTCTATAAATGCTAGTCTAGAACTGGTTTCATTTGGGTTTGTTTTAGTTTTTCCTTGATTTCGCCGCAAAATCAGGTACAACTAATCATCGGAATGGGTCGAATGATGTATCATATTGAAGACCTTTCAGTCGGGATCTGAAAAGTGGTTCCAGCGTCGAGAAATTTTTTCTGAAAAGTGGTCCCAGTCGAGAAAAACGGATTTAAAAATTTCAAGCGTTAGTCTAATATAGAGCAAATAAGTTGTTTGTCTTTGAATTTTTGGTAGCGCTATTTTTGGAATAAAAACTTCAAAAATTCAAAATTATCTGTAAAAAATTTAAGAATATTTTGTTTAATTTTAATTTTTTTTCTAGTCAGTTCTTGACAAAAACTGTTGCTCAGTTTGACCATTTTACCGTGACTCGGATATGTCTACAAATCAGGTTTTCGGCAGATCCTTTCATCACACCACATTCAAAAAAATTAATTCAATAAAAAACAAGGAAAAATTTTTAACGTTGCTTGAAGAAGAAGAACGGAACAAAAAAAGGAAAGAAAGTTTTTGTAATGATTTTTTTTTGTTTTTCAACGCTATTGGGCAACGAAACTTTTGTTGCCTTATTTTAAAGGTATGTTATTGTTTTTTTAAATATATTATATTGTTCATTGAAAGATTTGAACTGAGAAATAAAACATCAAGTTTATCGTGTCAAAACCTGCATTTTGCTGTTTTCTTTGTTCTTACTTTTGTAAAGAGTATGTCTGAAAGCATATGTTACTAATGAAAAGCATAGGAAAAGCTTTTTTCAAACAACAAAATGCTCATATTCAATTTGGATAGTGTGGTCAGAAAAAAACGATGTGAATTGATTCAGCACTCAACAACTGAAAGTGTTTCGATCTCTTTCGTACAGTTTGGCAGCTTGGGTGAAAGAAAATTGTAGTAGGTTTAAATTTGAGCAGATTTTTTGGGTTTTGCTCACGTTTTGCGACTTCTACTTACAATTTGCGGATTCCGCTGACAGTTGCGGATTCCGCGACTGCATAACTTTACAAGTCACATATACATTTAATTATTTCTGAATTCCAGAAACTGTTTCTGATTCTGGGAAATCGATTGCAGATTCTGCACAATCTCCTTATTTTGAAGCGATTTTGAGCGATACAGTCTTTAAGCTATTTATTCGAGGAATCCAAAACTGCAAAAAAAAGATCAAGAAAACTAGCAAGGCTATGGCTTGCGCAACACATCTGTTTTCGACCTGTTGTGGAATCCGCTCATAAATCACAAAAAACACAGGTTGACTTTGTTAAGAAGTTTGAAATATCATAAGGTTTTGCACAGTTTGGCCTCGTTGTTAATTTCGAAATGTCTCAGACATTTCGAACTTTGCACAAAAACTTGCACTAAATTAGTTCGAGCAGGCAGGTGTTTTGTTCATCTTTTAGACTTTCAGCTTATTGTTATATAAAATTTAGTTTTACGCCTAGTTGCAGTCGATCCTTTGACTTTCACAGTTTTGTTTCACATTACAATTGCGAGAGCAAGTAACTTGTATTCTAGTAGATTTTTCTCCAATTGAACAATTTTTCTTACATCTACTTGAAAAACGAGCTCTATTTATTACGAAAACCCGATACTGACATGCTGCTGCCTACTTAGTATAGCAGTGCTTTAAGTTCCAAAATTCAAGGCGTCAAAGCTTTTCATGTAAATTGAATTTTCATTTCCCGATTTTTTAGATAAACTGTTTGACTTTTCAAATCTCAAATGCTTACGCTTAAAAATTTCACTCAGTTTCTGGTCCGTAAATTTTTGATTCACCAGACAATTTCTTTTTCTCATTAGGCTTGCGATTAGCGATCGTTATTGAATGGTAACGTAGATTTTTTCGGGAAAACATAGCTTAACAGAATCACTTGGATCGTTTTACATTTTGGTTTCTCTCAAAGAAAGGCGTTGATTTGCGCATGTGGCACAAAGGTAATGCACCTGCCTATAAGTTTTTTTCTTGTTGAAGTTTTCGCGCGTCAAAAAATCTTAGTCTGTTTTTGTCGGCTAGATGCCACGGTTTGGAACTTGCCTAAGGTTAAAGCATTTAAAAAAATTAAATCTAGTTTGATCCCCTTTGGTACAATTAATTGAGTTCCAAGAACCTTTGCCGAATTTTTTAAATAGTTTTATTTTATATTTCTTAAAGAACTTTTGGAAGTTGTTTTTTGATTTTTTTGTTTTAATATTCGTCCCATCAATTGAGCAATCTCCTCCCCCCTCCCCCGTAATGAGCAATTGAGCTATCTCCCACCAAGCAAGAACGATAAAGCGCTACAAAAAGACATCAGCAAACGCAAGAAGATGGTTGATATGCTCGTAGCACGCCATCAATTGACCGACTGAAGTTTAGTTTATATGAGCATAGAGAAAAATTTTGAAAACGAAAAAAATCGAATTTTATTTTTTAAAACATTTTGCAAATTTTTGTTAGAGCGACCATTGCTTCATCAGGAAAGCGACTTACCAGGGTGGCTGCTCCAGCCTTGTATCTGAATATCAAAAACTGCTCTCTGCTGCACCTTAAATTTGTATGCAATACATTTTCATCCTTTTAGGACAGAAAAAAGTCGCTTTATGTCTCATTTTTATTGATTCTTTTTCACTCTGATTGTAATTTTTGACCTTCGATATTGTAAATTTTGGCGTTTCACATTCGTTGGAGAATCTGTTTTATGATTTCATACCATCCAAACTATTTTCAAGTGGTTATAAACATGTCTCAAGAAACTATGGTGGAGATTGCTCAATTGATCCCATTCAAAAGCAAAAAATGTACACCTGCTCTTTAAAATTGGAAATTTTGATCATTTTTGATAGCAATTAGTCGAACAAATGTTTATATGCCAATACTACGGCGTAAAAAAATCTGTTGTACTTGCTGCTGATTTCTGGTAGTTTTTTGCGGGAAAAAAAAACAGAGGAAGTTTTGTCAATAGTAACCAACCATTAAGTGGCGATATTATCTACCTTTTTTGTGGAAATAGAAATGATTTGGTTTTTGTCTGAAGTTCATCAGGAAAATACTGCTGTGCATGTTTTGAGTTCACTGTTTTCTATCAAACTGGACAAATTATACTTCGCATTTGTGTTGCAAGCTAGCATTGCTTAAACAACTCTTTTGTCTACAGCGATAATCAGTCGGGAGTAGAATGGGCGATAGACGATTGGTGATACAATAAATCAAATTTGGGTACCTCTGTGAGGGATTGGTCCAGAAATGCGGAGTACTCTGTCAAGTTGAGATCCCGCCAGTCTATGTAGTGAGTCTGCAGCACTTGCACTACAGTGTTTTCGAACTGGTTTCTCCACTGCCCCAACAGCTCAATATGTTCCATGTACTGCTCCAGTTGCTGCACAACAGTATCGTCCAATGTTGCAGAATGTATTGCGTCAACTATGACCTCAATTGACCTATCGCACGGCAATACTCATCGACATGTTAACCAAGCGAATGGGCGTAAAAATATACACACTGCCTCCATCTCATTTATGTCTCAATTTTGATTCTTCAAAAAAAAATTGTCTTAGAAACTGATCGACTTAGTCGCCACAAATGCAGCATAATTTCCCGGTGGTATCCCGGGTGCTGTCAGCCCAACTCGGAGTGAATAACATCCAATCGATTGATCTCAGAACTGAATCTGATGAAAAAAATAATCAAATTATGTTTCCGGACTTACGCAGGCATCCTGTCCAAATGTATTTCAGCGGACAGCTTTAGCAATGCATCGAACGTACTCTGTTTGTTCCAGCGCCTCTTCAACTCTTTGCTTTGATCCAGAAGTGACTGGAACTGGCAATGCAAGAGGAAGTTCCTTCTGTGTCTGGAAGTCTCTTTATTCATCAGCTCCATCATCATGTCCTGAATTAATGTCAGAAGAGTTAATCAAAATTTTTCTTAATGAAACTGTTTAATCTAAATTCATAAATTTATTTGATTAACTATTGATAAAAATAAAAAAATTCTTGTTTTCCTGGGTAACATGCTTGCCATGAAGTATAATGGGATGGCGAAATTGTTATTTTTTGAAGTTCACTTTTTGGACAAATCAAAAATTCGTCGAATGATTTATGCGAGCTATAAACTAAAACCATATTTGAAGCAAAGGTAATAAGCAACATTTATTTTAGTTGCCTGCTGTTTTGAGACTTATCATAGTTTTGCCAAAAAACGATTCAGATCTGAAGAAAAAAATTGAAAAAAATTACAAAAGATCACCTTGGATGATTTCCTGGGTGAGGCCCTTTCCAATTCGTGAGAATTGCTCAATTTTTCAGCCATTTGGATACCACCAGTATTTTTCAACACGAATGTTTTTTAGTCCAAGATGCCGCATGGATTTTTATTGTAAATAATTAATTGCATCAGATGCTATGCTGACGTGTATTTCTATACACACCACGTGTCATAATGAAAATCCAAAAAATTAGAACGTTTTAAAATAAAAAATGGGAACTCTGAAGTGAGGTAAATTAATTTATACTTTTCTCCTTACATATATAAACGATGCAACATGAGTCCAGTCGAATTATTCGAATGTGAAAAAAGTAAGAGTGCTTGTATCAGGGCGAAACCTGAATGATTGATTCGACTGCCTGTTAAAGTCTATGGATTAGTGTTTGGTGTATAAATAAACTGGCATGCTGATTTTTAAAAAAAATGAAAACAAAATCATTTTTTTTTGAGATCTTTAGTTTGAAAATCATACCCCAACACGCTATGTTAAGTACAGATTGAGACAGGACTGCTCGTATCAGAGTTAAGCCCTGAGTGTTCCGACTGTCCTTCAATGTTTCTGAAATACTTTATGAAAACATCATTTAAGCAAGTATGCTCTTTTTCTTTTCCACCCCATCGGTGCGAGCATCGGTTTTTTGTAACTATTGGTTTTACTGTGTAACCTATGGTTACTAAATATGTTTGCTATGGCTTAATTAGTCCGGACGCTAGTTTTTGTGACAATTCTACACGCTTTGCTAAGTACAAAATGGTATGTTTTGCATATAGCAAAGTATTCAAGTGTCTAGGGAAAATGGAAAATTTTCTGGAGAAAAAAACCACGCCGAGCACAAATATTTTTGTCACTTTCTTCGAAAGTCGAAACAAAAATTAGCACAGGTCAAAATGAAAAAGTAGGTCAATTAGCACGTTTTGTTTCAGTTTGATAGAGTAAACATCCGTTTAAGCGTTCCTAACGCAAAACATTGCGCGTTATTTGTTCCAGACTGGCCAAATTTGCAAAATTAAAACCAATTAACACTTCGAATTATAATTATCCTTGCGATAAGCAAGGGTTATGCAACCTGTTACTTTTTTGCCCGTAAACAACTGTCCACAGGACTCGTCTGGAGTCATCTCTACCCCATTTCATTAGGTGTGCAAATTTCTTAGCGTTCCTGGCCAACTTAGCCTCCAAAGGTACGGCAAAGGTCCTGAGCTCGAGTCTGACTAGGGCCTGCTTTTTTTCAAACGAGAAATATTGTTTCAAAAAAATTTCGTCTATTATTTGTCTGATTATCGGTTGTCGGCTTAGTTGTCAGATCTTGGAATTGTTTTTTTTTCTACGGGCATTTTTTAAATATTGTTTTTAGTGTTTGATTTACGCCTACATTTTGTAATTTTGCTTACCCAGACTTCAGATTTCCTTTATTTTTTTGTTTCGCTAAAAAAATTCTTCGGCCAAAAATATTTCGGCCTATTTCATCGGTTTAATGACCTAATTTTGGGTTGTTTCAAGATCGACACAATTAAGCACTCTCCTCCGCACTTTTCAAGTTGGTTGTTTGTTTTTCAATCGGTTTTATGAAATACAATTTTTTCGTTTCATTGTATGCAGAAATTTAGTTTTTCTCAGGAACTTCTGATTTTCATAAAGAAGTATCAGTTGAAAGACCGCTTACTCTCTCTGTCTGCCTGCATACACCACCAGAGTCTTTCTTACTTATGACCCTCTGTCTTAAGTGTGGGGGAATTTTTGAACCATATTTTTTTTTCCTTTTCGCGAAAACTACCTCTCCCAATTATGAGTTTTTGGTTTCGACGGATAACTGTTTTGACAAGCTTCCCTGCATAATTTGCTGCGACCAATTTTTTTTCGTACATGAAGTTATGGCACTCGGAATAGTCAAAAGTTTGACTTTTGAACTTTTTGTGTATCTATTCTCGGAAACTAAACTCTCAAATTTCTGCTGTGAGTTCAATGAGATAACAGGTAGTGAGAAGTTTCTCTCCATTAGCGGACACTATCAAAAATTTTGACTCAAGATGTTAACCTTTTTTAACCTTTTGAATATTCTCAAAAACTAACCGGCCATACCTGAGATTTTGGGTTCAATTCTCACGACAGGCTTCGGAAAGTTCATTTGTTAATGCGAGCATGCCCAAATTTTTTTTCTCTAAAATTTTTCACCCTCGGAAAAGTTAAAATTTTGATTTTGTGACCACATTTTGAAGACTTTGAATTTTCTTGAAAAATACTCTAACAAATTTGATATTGTGGGTTCATTGAGATAACCGGTAGCGGGAAGCTATCAGCATTAAGGGACACTAATAAAATGTTTTACTTAAGAAGTTATCGTCCTCTGAAAAGTCAAATTTTTGATTTTTTCACCGTTTTCTTAAACTTTTTGGTAATTCTCAAAAACTATCCTGCCATGCCTGAAATTTTGGGTTCAATTTTTTGAACGGGCTTCGGCAATTTCATTTGCTTATGTGATTACGCAAAAGTTGTTTGACTCCAAAAATACTACCTCTCGGAAAAATAAAATTTTTGGTTTTGTGACCGTTTGTTTGAAAGTTTTGACTTTTCTCGAAACTAACATACCAATTACCAGATTTTGGGTTCGATTGAAATTAAAGTTTGATTGAATCCCTTCTGAATCTTTTCATCCAAAAAGCTATGATTCCCGGAATCGTCAAAATTTTTGATTTGTTGACAGTTTTTTTGTCGTTTCTTGCTAACATTTCTGCTAAATCCGATATAGAATTAATCGAATAAACAGATTGTTGAATGCCTACCTTTCAAATTAGCGATGCTTAGCTTGTTAAAAAAAGTTATCGCCTTCCAGCAAGTCTTCAATCGAAAAATCTGGCTTGGCAAATCTTAGCGCTTAAACGGCCATAACCTGTTTTTTGCATAAAAACATTGTGGATTTTCGAAGGAAGTCTTTTCTGTCTTTTTTTCGGAACTTTCGACCGCTGAGAAAGTTTTGAGTTTTCTTCTAATTTACACAACGAAAAATTCCATTGAGAGAACTGGTTGCGATAATTGTTTCTGCAAAAGCAGCGATTCCTTAGTTTTCTGTTAGAGGATTGTTATCTCCTTGCAAAAATTGATTATCTCAAACTTTTTCACTCTTCTGAGTTATTTTAGTAGAGAAACAACTAAAGAAAAATGGGATTTCAAAAATTGTACTTCACCTAAAACTTTAGTTGTTTCTCTACTAAAACAACTCAGAAGAGCAAGAATTTTTGAGAAAACCCAATTTTTGAAATCATATTTTGTTGCCGCCTCAGTATAGCAGACTTCTTCAATATTAAACACGTACCTCCAGATTTAGCTGGGCCTGTAGGTGTTTTTTATCGAGACTTACAAAGAAATTTCGTTCAACTATTGTTTTCAACATTTAAAAATTTTTCGACCAATGTCTTTTTTGTATTGTAGTGAAAACGGTGCAAAGCTCCGCTCCTCCTGTGTTATGCTTGCGAATACCAAGCTTTATCAAACCGGAATAAAAACTTTTTTTCGGGCTAACAACCAATTTAACAAAATCTGTTTCATGAAAATTCAAATTTGACTACTTCATGCTAGATAATTAGCTACTACTGCATGATATATCTAGAACACAAGTTATTTTATCTATAATTAGAGAGTTTTGATATTTAATTTCTGCTGATGATTTTGCGGCTTCATGGTTGTCCAATTAGGGCCTGGCCGGGAAAAGTCGAATAGCTCGACTCCCATTTCTCTGCTAATGTTTTGTCATGCTCAGTTTTTTGTACTTAATTTTTTTGTACTGTCGTGTGCAAATGTTAATAATTGCAAATAATTTTGATTTTCTCCTGTAAATTATAAAATTAGTACTAATTCGTAATTTTTCTTTTATTTTTTCGTTGGAAAACTTTATTTGGCCGAAATAGTTTCAATTTTTTTTTGGCCTAATCATTCAATTTTGCTTTGCTTCAAAGGCAGAAATTTTTATCTTTTTTCTGAAAATTTTGAATACTTTTAATAATTTTGTAAGATTTCAAAGAGTAACAATTCAAGTGCTTGAAAGTTTCGTCATGACAATTTTTGCTTATGCAAGTTGTGTTTCCGGCTCAATAGGTTTCTACGCACTTTCTGTTTGGCCATAACCTGCTTTTTGCCTAAAAACGTTGTGGATTTTTGAAGTCTTTTCATTCTTTTTTTTCAGAACTTTCGACCGCTTCTTAGAAAGTTTTGATTTTTCTTCAAATTTACACAGCGAAAAGTTCCATTGAGAGAACTGGTTGCGATAATTGTTCCTGCAAAAGCAGCGATTCCTTATTTTTCTGTTAGAGAATTGTTACCTCCTTGCAAAAATTGATTTTCTCAAATCTTTGACTCTTCTGAGTTATTTAGTACAGAAACAACTAAAGAAAAATGTGATTTCAAAAAATGGACTTCGCCTAAAACTTAAGTTGTTTCTCAACTAAAACAACTCAGAAGAGCAAGAAAATTTCAAAAAATTAAATTCAATTTTTTGCCGCCTCAGTAGAGCAGACTTTTTCAATTTTAAACACGTACCTCCAGATTTAGCTGGGCCTGTAGGTGTTTTTATCGAGACTTTAAAAAGTTTGATTCACATAGTTTTTTCAACTTTTTAAATTTTTCGACTCATGTTTTTTTTTGTTTTGTATTGAAAATAGTGCAATGCTCCGCTTTGCCTCTGTGTTACGCTTGCGAATACCAAGCTTTATCAAACCGGAATGTAGACTTTTTCCGGGCTAACAACTAATTTAACAAAATCAGTTGAATATTTTCTGATGCTCATTTTCATGAAAAGGCAAAAATAACTACTGCATGCTAGGTTTTTTGCTACTACTGCATGATATATCTAGAACACAAATTATTGTATCTATAATTAGAGAGTTTTGATATTTATTTTCTGCTGATGATTTTGCGGCTTCTTGGTTGTCCAATTAAGACCTGGCAGGAAAAAGTCGAATTGCTGGACTCCCATTTGTCTGCTCAAGTTTTTTCTTGCTTAATTTTTGTAAAAGTTTTTATTTTACTGTTGTCTGCAATTGTTAATGTTTGCAAATGTTTATGGTTTACTCCTGTTTTTTGTAAAATTAGTACCAATTGGTTGTATATTTACTTTT